AGCACCGCGCAGGCGGTCCCGCCAGCCCTTCCCCAGCGCCCAGCAGCGCAAAGCCTGCCCTGCTCTGCACCCCAAACCCTGCGGCAACGCTGCCTGCAGCCTGGTCGAGAAACCTCACAACTGCCACTGTTACCTTCCTCAGCAAGACTAGTCTTCTAACCTACACCCTCCATCAACTTTTCAAATCCTCTTCAGCTGCAGGGAAGTCAACATTTGTCAGGCTACTAGAGAAACACAGTGATGAATGGGAGATCATCCCTGAACCTATTGCCAAGTGGTGCAACATCCAGACAGATGAAGATGAGTGTGAGGTAGGTGTGCTGGATCTGGGAAGCTTGGGGAGAGAGACGGCCAGAAGAAGCCGCAGTGATCAGCCAGGGAGCCATGCCAAAATTCAACTTGCTTAAGTCTGGAGTATCCACAAGTCATTCCCACTACCATACCAGTTGGTCAAACACTCAGAAATTGTAAAGGCTACTTAGGAAGATACTGTTGAATGCATATTGCAAATATTCCAGAAAAATCACATTAAAGCCTGAAAGTCAGTGATGAACCTATTCTAAAGAAGCTGTCATAAAGACTACCACCAGCTGAGTATCATCAAATCTCTATTCCTATGCATTTTCCTAGGGAAAAAAACACACACACAAGGCCATGAAGTGTCACTTCAACATACCAGAATTCTGGATTAAGAGAAATCAAATCCTGCAAATATGCTGGTATTAAGTTTTCTCTCTTGTCCCCCAGGAACTTTCAACATCTCAGAAGAGTGGAGGCAATCTACTTCAAATGCTGTATGACAAACCCACAAGATGGGCTTATACATTTCAGACCTATGCTTGCTTGAGCAGAGTAAGAGCACAATTAAAACCTGTTTCGGCCAAGCTACATGAAGCAGAACATCCAGTGCAATTTTTTGAGAGATCTGTGTACAGTGACAGGTAATTACTCTCACAGTGCAACAAGAGTTCAGATTAAAAGCTCCAGGTCTTTATGCTCAAAGACATGGAGCTGGGGAAACACTTGATATTAAATTAGTATCTGCAAGAACAGGTTGATTCAACAGGTGAGAGTTGGATGGTATTAAGAGTACTCAATGACAGCTGTTTTTTCAGTACCATGATTCTGATTCTAATGAGAAGTGCTTTAGCAGCTCACTTTAGTCTCGTGCCAGGAATGACCAATGTCTTTCATTGCAGATACATATTTGCTTCTAACCTGTTTGAGTCTGGAAACATTAATGAAACAGAGTGGGCTATTTACCAGGACTGGCACACATGGCTTTTGAATCAGTTTGAATCAGATATAGAACTGGATGGCATGATCTACTTAAGAACCACACCTCAGGTATGTTCACTAAAGATGAAAATGTTTCAGCTCCAACCTCAGCCTTAAAAAGGTACAAACCACCAGGTATTCATGGCATAATACTTCAGTGACCAACACTGAAATAGCTCCCCTCACCCCAAATATAATGGGAAGCCTATCATAAATTCAGATTTCATTCAGAGATCAAATTAAAAACTCTCCCTTCTGAGCTACTATTCTGATGTCAGCAAATGCTACTTGCTAGCATCCACCACTCTCCATAAGGATCCAAGGCTGAAAGTGAACTTCTGAATCAAGTTTGACATCCCTTCCCATACAGTCCAGAATTTAAGCCGATAATAAGAACTACTGACCTCTAGCTGAAGTAGCTTCATTTTTTTTTTTAAAGAAAAGTTATTCTAGATTTAACTCACTTATGTTCAGCCAAGCATTTAAAATTAATGCTCAGTAATGCCTACTATTAGTCCTTGATTTAAGGACCACTTGATCTATTTAGCTGATTTAGCCTTCAACACATGACTAATGTCCAGGCTTGTGTACTTTCTGCACCCCCCCCAGAAATGCATGGAAAGGCTACAGATGAGGGGAAGAGAAGAGGAGCAAGGAATTGAGCTTGAGTATTTGGAAAACCTCCACTATAAACATGAAACCTGGCTTCACGAAAGGACTATGAGGTATGAACCCATTTTCTGCAGGCAAGTTTCAAGTTACAGGCAAGGCTCTTTCCTACCTTCCACTAAAGCTGATTAGGGATGAAACTAAGGTTTAAGTCTACCTTCACTCTGGCACAGTTGGAAGGACTTCTATTTAGACCCAGTCCAGGTTTCTTGGCAGAGGTGATTACTCTAGGCTGTATGCAGAGGGAACGTCATTTGTTGGCAGGGAAGTAAAAATTGTTACGAGATGGAACTTCATCTAATTTAAAGCCTTTGTTAAGCATTAGCTTCAACTAGAAAGCTGTGTAGTTTTAACTCGAGCAAGGACATGAATTTTGTTAACTGAAAGAACACAGGAACAGGACAGAGTTGAGATTGTGTTTGAGTGGCCAATCACATCAGTTATCTACTAAGCGGCTTCCAGTTCCAGTGTAAGGGAGGGCAAGGTCCCAACTACCTTTAAACTAGGCTGACTGTATTTCAACAAGGTTTAAATATTAATCCTAACTTCAAAATAAACAATAATCAGAAAGGCTGTTGGCAGATACTACTACACAAGAAACCCAGTCAGCAGCTAAGTGATCTCTGCATACCTTCACCCCCCCAACTTCCTCTCCATGTAAGGAATCTCTAAGTGTGAAAGCAGACTTTAGATTTTCCCCTGGAGGAGCCTGAACTGCTCTACTGAATGGGAAGCATAACAATTCCAGGAAAACTATGTTATCAGCCACATCTACTTTCCTAAGTTTCATGTAGGATGACCCAAATGCTTAGGAGACAAGAAGTCACTGCCTATTGTGAAATTCTGGGAACATTTACATTGTGTACTCACACCAAACTTGTGAGCAAGCATTTCCTGTATTTTTCGTAGAACACTTAAGTCTGCAAACCCAAGTTAAGAATGCTGTTCAGCACAATTACTGCATTTTAGAAATGCTTTTCAAACATAGGAAGAGAGAATAACTACTGCTTTAAGAGAAATACACATCCAGTTGCACAACTGCTGCTTCCATCTGCTCCTAACCTGTAGCCAAATGGTCTTGCTTCTCAGAGCCATTTTAAATACCAGTCTTAAAACCTGTTAAAGAGGTCATCCCCACCAAAGGAAGCTTTCAAACTGCATCTTCATAAATGGATTAGCAGTTAACTGGAAAGGGGTGGGGGAGACACAGGGCAAGTGGTACTTTTTAAAAATACTCCCTCTTATCAAAATCACATTCCTGGTAATTGATTCCACAACAAAAAGAATGAGGTAAAGGAACCTAAGTTAAGAAGCGTAAGTTAACGTCACACACGCTTGTACAATAAAAATGGGTATTAAAAGGCCAGATTTGTGAGATACATTAAAGTTATCATGATACAATGTTGACTGGATTATACAAGAGCAACTGAGGACAGACTTGACTTGGGCTTTACACTTAAGTCACAGGCATCAGCATTAGTATCTCAGGTGCATATGGTAATCTGAGTAATGCTGTACCCTTAGGATGACTTGGAAAGCAACTGGAAGAGCTAGTATTATAGACAGTACTTTACACCATTTTTACTAGCATGATGTTCTTCCACTTAACAGAGTTGATTTTGAGAACCTTAAAGAGATTCCTATTCTAGTTCTGGATGTTAATGAAGATTTTAAGAATGATAAGATTAAACAGGAGTACCTGATTGGTAAGGTAAGTATTAAATGTTTCCTCATCTGCTTTTCTTCTGTAGTAATAGCTACAAGTTACCAATCTACATTCTCAAAATTTGTGATAAATACTTGTTCGGGGCTAGTACAGTCAGTCTCCTTCATAGACTTAGGAAGCTCCATGGCTGCAGAAAAGGCTTTTTGCTTTCCTTAAAAAAAAAAAAAATGTAACCCCACCTCACTATCCTCACAATTCAAGGGAAAACTGGGTGGTTTTAAAGAGGGGCAGTTGTGGGGGATGCAAGTACACAGCAGCTGGAGCAGTCAGACCACTCTCTGCAAGCCTGCACTACCATACCTTTCATTAAATAGTTCAGAGTGATACCATCTAACTCATGTCAGCCACACTGTCTTTAGAAAAAGCCTAAAGTCAGCTTAGAGCTATTTATGCCCCCTCACATTCTAGGGATCTAGACTCTTCCTGGACAGAGCACAACACACCTGACAAATGAACCTTGTACATAGCTCTAACTGCATGAAGTGACACTTCTAAGTGGAGTTGGGAGGAAGACTCAACAGCCATTTGAGGAAACAAGGTGGTAATAAATAGGTCACTTGAGTCAAAATGGTGTTTGCCAATTCCAAGGGAAGGCAAGGCTTAGGAAGTAAACACCCGAAGAAATTCTTCTGCTGGAACAACATGCCCAGTCCACAACAAAAAAAACCCACCTCATAGTACTCAAAGGCATGGGACTCATCCCCAATCCTCCAAGCACAGCTGTAACATTACTCGTTTAATTCACAGCTTAGGGAGTTAGGAACCAGACTACACTCAGACATGCTTTCTTTTAACTTGCGCCACTGAAAGGCCACCAGCTTTGTTTCCACCAACTTCACCTCATCACCCAGCACACGAAGAGGTCAGCTCTACTTTCAGTGTGGGGTGGGAGTACAGCACCATGCCAAAAGTGCTACCAGATCAGTGGCTTAGTTTTCAGACAATCCCTCTGAGAAAGAGCTACCTAATGAAGGAAAATTCATTTTTCTTTAATGAAGTAACATTCTGTGAGGCATCCAGAAGCTACCTTTCATAAGTACTTGCTATTTTTGTGTAATTCAATCACTCAGTTCTGCCTCATACTAACATACAAATCTTGGGTTCACAGCCATCTGCTATACTGAAAAGCATTTCAGGTCATGAACTGTAACTAGAGGCAGAACAGCGCTGGAAACTGTACAGTGACAAACTATTTGTTCCCCAAGAAAGAAAGGGAAAAGCCTAATGACTTAGCTCTTCTTTTAACTCATCAAATGTAAATTATTTTTATTTTCACAGGTCAAGTCCTTCCTGACTTCTTAACACGAAAAGTAATCTGAATCAAGTCCCTGAAGTTGAAGAGTTAAACCTAACAATCAGTGTTTGCTTAGACAGTTTACTTAGACAATTTACTATTTAGCTTATTCTAAGGCAAGACTGAAGTGCAAAATATGGTTTGGTGGTTTATTTTTCTTTTCTTTTTTGCTTGTCTGACCTGTGTGGATTCTGATGGGATTTTCTGTATAGTTGAAAGGAGGAAATACGGGGTGCTTTGATAACGTACTTTGTGTATATTCTCTACTGTTTAATAAAGACTTTAAAATAATATTGACTAGTAGGTTGCTGTAAGGACAGATAGTTAACTGGTTATCAGCAGCTGACAGCCCCGTGAACAGAGATAGCAGGCACTGGGGCAGGGTTGTTTTGCAATCCAATTCACCATTTTAAGACGAGCCTGTTATGGCGTCCAGAAACCTCTACCGCCAACTCCTGCGTGCCCAGCGGCCGCCCT